GTTTCTCATGAAAAGCATAGATGAGCACATAGTATAAAAATGAGAAGAACTGTGGATTCGAGACTTTAGATATCGTTGCACGCGAGATGAATTTACTCCGGATTACCGGAGATTCAATCATCCGGGGCTGATAAAGGAAGAACTTATCCGTGGAATTTCGAATTGAAATATGAGAACGCAAACACCTGCGCGCGGTCAGATTCCATGCGATTGCGTTCGAAATCCGTGGAAGAGAGGAACGATGCCCCCTCGATACGGATCGGCGATCATCCAGGTAGATTCGCGAAACGATCGCGGTTTAGCCTGGGCTCGGGACCGGAGAGAAATCGATTCACCATGAATTACCACCTAACTCTGAATGCGATGCATCAAAATCGAGAGAACCGACGTAGATCGGGTAATAAGGATGGCGGACCGGTTGCTAACTAGATCGATCGATTTGAATCCGAGCCGAGGCAGGGCAAAAACTCTGTGAGGAAACGGCGAAAGAAGTTGCCGACGGGACAGTCGTAACTGGTTGTCGACAATCTCCTTTCAACGCGACCAGAGATCGAATGGTACACACTTAGAACGATCATTTGGCAAATGAATTACCATTATGAATAATTATAATCAATCGAATTTCTCTTCGGTTTATCGTGTCTTATAGTTTGCCTCAAACGGGAAATGACTAAGGGGATGAAATATAAAAATGAAATTGGTTAAGATGAAGCGATTGATTATCTGAAAACACGGTATAGAGGAATTTACTTGTATCAGTGATAAAAAGGAAATATACGAACGGCTATAGATACGAATCTAACAGAAGAACTAGCTAATACCTGCTGTGATTTAACAGTTACTGTAGCGTTAGGCTCCCCGTCAAAGAATTTACGTCTGCTTGAACACCTGAAGTAGAAGTCGGAGGAATGTGTAATAAATTATCCGATTGAAACTGTTTTTTATACCACAGATGACGATGCGGTTCGTTTCTGATAAAAATTGTTGGTTTTTCTGTTGCAGATTAAAAAGCGCCGGCGGCAGAGGTAAGAAGTCCTACAAAGATTTGAAATTCATGTTTTTACTGACAGGATTACGCCGTAAGCTGCTTATTGGGCTTGCGATTAGCGCAGCCGCGTACATACGGCCACTGCCACTGGAGCTTAGACAGTACCTGTTGTACTTCCCACTTATTACTTAATATAATTGGATACATTCCTTTTATTTTTTTTATATAATTAATTACATACAGTTACGTTGCAACTTCTTCAAATTAATTCATTTATATTATAAATTTGAGAGTGTATTTTTTCTTGAACGATAAATTTTTAATGGCTGATTTACCTAATACCTAATCCAGATCTAGCTTCAATGCGACCCCTAATGATTACGTTCCGTTCATAGAAAATTAGTACAATAGGCCTATATAGGTATGCCCAATCACAGTTGTCCCTAATCATATTTATGATTATGACTAGCCCTGACGGAACACATTCAGAGCTACGCATTCGAAAGCCCCCAACCAGGATATCAATTCAAAATCCTGCCCATTCTCCGCTTTCATTCCCTGTCGTTAAACATGATATTCGCCTCTAATAATTTCTGCTTACCTTCCCTCTCTGAATGCCTACTCTTTGAAACCGTATCTGCATTCGAAAAGCGTTCGCCACGTGTACTCTGACCGATAAAAGGGGTTTGAAACTTGCCAAGAGAAACGGGGTCTGCCGAGTAAAAATCATACTTACGTGGCATGCATTGATTTCATACTTAACCCCTTCCCGTACTTTAGCGACTCAGACTCGCGATGAAGATTTTTGCCCAAATATGAATATCGCGAGTCTGACTCGCGACCAGATACTTGGGGCAAACATAAATATCACAAGTCTGACTCGCGACTAGATACGTGGGGCAAACATAAATATCACGAGTCTGAGTCGCGAACAGATACTTAGTACAGATAGTACTTATAATTAGTACAGATAGTTTCTAAATGGCATGGGAAGGGGTTAATAATTATTAAACGAGGCACGTCTATAACAATTAAAACAGAAATGATGAATCATGACATGGCTATTTCGTATCGATCAAGCCAAAATTAAGTGCTTATACGCTATATACCGGATGTTCTCGCCAGTAGAAAGCTACAAAGACCCGCAAGAGGTACGACGTCAATTGGTGCAAACGAGAGTGGAGCAAAGCCGTGGTGTCAACGCCGATTGGAGTTTAATTAGTTCGCATAATGAAAGCTGGCTCACGGCTGGTATATACGTACGTACGTAGGCTCGGCTACCGGCGCGCACGTTTAAAAGGTAGCGGAGCGACGCGACGGACGGGCGACATAAAGGACAGTGAAACGTGTCTAATTAACTTTCTGATTTAAAATCACCCGCGGCATGATACGATCAACGAGCCGGGGCTACGAGCGCCGGCGCGGCGCGGCACCGCTGGAAGCTCTGGCAAGGATGAACGAAGACGGGGACCAGGGCGAATAGAAGGAGAGAGGGTTAGGCAGTTTACTACCGGCCGGGAATATACAAGGGTCACCCGAATTAATTATCCGACACTCGTTTCACCGAACCTCCTTCGACTCCGTCGACGTTCTTCACCGTTTCACGATTTGCTCCTTAAGTGACTTTCACACCGGCACGTCGCGACGCCGCTGTTCGATCAATAAAAAATTATAATTAATTCAATCTTCAATGGCAATTAGCCCAATGAGAAGCTCGAAAGGGTAAAAGACTAGATATTTTTATAGAATTATTGATACTCTTCGCATCTCTTGAATCCCTCATAAATAATAATACGATTGTACCGAGTCGTTCTCAGTCGTTTCTCAACTAATGACCCGCCGGTCGGGTACTGAAATCGAGCGCGTTTAACATTTAGATGAGTGATTAATTGGTGGAGAATAAAGCGGCAATTAAATGCAGATAAAGATGGCATTCCATAGGCGGTTTGACTATCGCTGAGAAATGTGAAATATCGGAAGTGTTATGCGACCGAAGATCGTAAGAACGTGGATCGTAAAGTCGTAGGGAATCACGTTACAATCTCATAAATCCGCGTTTAAGGAAGCTGTAAATTACGAAGCTACATCGCGCGCGTAGACGTTTTCTTCTCGCTTCATAGGAAGTCGTGTTGGACTTGATCTATCCATTTCCTTCTTCCTCGGCTTCTATCAATTACGTTAAAACCGCAACCGTGCTGGCGTGGCGTGGTATGGCGCGGCGAGGCAGCCTCGCTCACCGGTGTTTGCTTATTCGTGGTCTATGTAAACTTGTCAGTTAGGGGAAATTATTGCTGTTGCACTCAAGTATGGATGTAATTGGAATTTCTACCGGAAGGGTTGGACAGAGCTCCGTTGAATAAGCGGGAGTGACAGTGCGTGCAACGCAATTTCGCAGCGAGGAGAGAGAAAGGGGGAGAGAGAAAAAAGAACGAATTAATGAAACATCGTTGAAGTGTACAATTGTGCGTAAGAACCGCCGCCAATGGCAACGGACAAGAGAGGCGTTAATGGACGGCTGAAAAGGGCCAGTTGCGCAAAAAGGACGAGGAGTCCCTTGCGCACGTTAGGTTCCCGTGCGATCAACGGGACACAATGGCCGATTCGAGGACCGGATAGAATAGGTGAGTCGAATGCGTTAATCGGCTTACGGCGCGTTCCATCGCTCGATACGCCGAATCAACGGCTACTCCCCCGAAGAGTCAACGACAGCTATCGCGCGCATTCCTCGAAAGAGCTTTCTTCATCATTGCTTCTGCACGCGTTTAAACGGGATTACATTCACCTAGGAACGCTTAAAGTCCTACTTTTATTTATTTATTTATTTATATACGAATTTGTAAAAACCATTTGTATACAGTAACAAAATAATGTGAAAGTTGAATAAAAAATAAGATAAGACGTATAAAATGTAACAATAAAAAATAATAATAATTGCGACATGTTATATGTAAAGTAAACGATTTATTGATTTAGAGAAAAGAATAATTATATACTTGATGCTCGACATAATTCTGGAGAAAATATCTTCATAGCATTCATCTTTTGACACCCTGTACATTGATTAAAAAATATTTTTCCCATCATTGTAAATACGGAAGATATTTAGGTAGCTGCATTTAAGCGGACTACCCTACAAAATGTGTGATTTTATCTCACCGATAAAATATCAACCGAACAAAGACACGTTGACCAAACGGAATTCCACATACGACCGAATCTAGTTTTCTCACGTCACTGAAAATCTTTTTTGACATGATGACACGCGAAGAGGGATCGGGGCCATCGAAATTCGTAGACGACCGGTGAGGGGAACATCGGACACAGAACCTGTCCATGTTACGCTCGGACCGAACGAGCCACGCACGGCTGCCGGGAAATAGTAGAACCCAGGTCCGTGGGCGTTCAGATATCTACTAGATCGTGAAGAGAACGTTCGGCCCCCTACTGTCACGACACGACAAAATTTTCACGCGTCCCGCTTGCCGGGCGCATCGGTCGACCAATTAATATTCGAACCATCTAATCCGGTAAATCACGCGGAGTAACGCGTTCACGAAATGGTGACGCGAAGCGACAGCCTGGAAAAGAAATGGATCCGATTACCCCGCCGTGTTCCAGTAAGTGGGAGTTATGGCGTAATCGTCGGCCGAATCGGCGCTTGTTTCGTGCTAGGGTTTCCCACCGAGGCGAGGTCCGTGGACACGAGGACTCCTGGAATGTTTGCGACAGTTCGATATTCCATTATAAACGAGGACCGACCTCAGTCGAGCGACGAGACCGATAAATCGACACCGCCTTATTTAGGATAGGCAATAAACGGCTTAACGCTTGCCGCGGAATGCTAAATTGCTGTTCGTCGATGCGTGCGCCGACTTGAATGCCTCGGACTGCCAGTACGACGATAAATAACGCGATTACCTCGTGCTCGCTGTAAGACTCGTAATCGATTGCATTCGGATTTCTAGGCACTCGCGCGCAAATGAAGTCGCGCTCGATCCTCGGCCGAACGGTGATGGAGCACCGGGCACCGAGAGCGGCTCGTAATGAATGGAAGGTTGATTAGGGTCGCGGGGAACGGTGTTCGCGGCAATTGAAATCTCTCGGCCGTTCGATAGTCGCCGATAATTGGTCCCGATCGAGCGTGTACGTTTCGAATGTCTCCGTGGTCGAAGAGTAGCGAATAATTTTCCTCAACATAATACGGGACAAATTTCTCAGCCGTCGCGTATCCGTTGATCCAATGAATATGCTGAATATTGCTCGGTAAACTCGATAATATGTCGGAACAACTTTTCCTCCAAGAGAGCTGAAGGATGTACAAGTCTAAGAGCCATCATCGGACAATCTCGCAATCATTGCGTAGATGGTAATTATGTAACTTGCAATGTACAGGCTTATTATAAATATACGTGCGAGTGGCGGCTGCAAAAAGGATGAATTAAATTTCCCCTCGGGTACGTCACCCTGCTTTTCATTCTGGAACGTTAGAGCGCATCAACGATTATACCCCGCGAGAAGGTTCAGTCTTCTCGGAAGAGGAAGAAAATAGTGTCTAGACGACGAGCCACGGAGAGGAAGATTATACCTACTCGTTGCACCGAGAGCACACGCGTGCGTGCCGTGCTGTGCCGCTGGTGGTAAGGGCACCGCGATAAACGAGAACCAGTCTCCGTATCTCCTGGCAAGTGACAGCCGCCAAGCCGCGTCGACGACGGCTCCGCCGGCGAGTCGTCCAGGACGACGACGAAAACCACCGCGCCGGTTAGTGGACAACGACTACGAGGAGGATCGTACGTGCGTAGGTTATGAGGTAGACCCGATGAGAAAGGGGTACACGGGGTACCATGGGATTCCCATAATCTCGTTTTTTCTCAGCGGCATTCTCATGCCCACTTACCGCGAGGCGGCGCTTCTGATCTATGAATTCCGAATTCCTTTTTTTCCTCTCCCTGTCCCCCATGCCTTCCTCCTTTCTGCTACGGTTTCTCCACCCGCCCCTACCACTGCTCTCTTGCCAACCACCTCGAACCCTGCCGCGCTTCTATGAGCGCCGTGACAGCACGATGACGGGCACACAATGAGGCCATACAGAAAACAGCCGTTTTTTTTTATTCTTACCCTCTCTATGTGCACGCGGGCTCATGTCATAATGCGGAGATTCGGGCCCGTGTATACATACACGCGTGTAATATATCTACGCGCGTGACCCTGCCCGCGTATAGCATACACGCCTGCCTCGAGTGTAACAGGATTCTGTCCGAGCTCACCTGGCACTTCACGAGCTTCATCTCGAGCCGTATGTCCCACCGGGATTCGGGCCCCGCTCGCAATTGAAACTCGAGCGCGACTTTCGTTCACGATCCGTTGCCAACGGATTTTCCCGAAGGACTCCACGTGGGACCTAACAATTTTTTTTTGGTGGTTTCTGTTCCAGCGAGTTGCTGCAGCGTCGGCGTCGAGGACCCGAACGTACAAGAAGCCGGCAGTCCAGGTGGTGGAGGCGGAGCTGGCGGCGGAGTAGCCGTTATACCCGACCGGCCGCCTCTCGAGCTCGATAAGCTGCCACCTTATCATGACGTCGCTCCGAGCCCTGGTACGTATCACTGAGAACCATTAATCAACGTATCGTTATAGTAGAATACCTGAGATGCTCTAGGAGTCCTCGGCTACTTTGAGTACACTGCCGCTTAAAATCTTAGAACAGCGTTCCTCTTCTTCAAATAAGGAAGTGCATTACAATTATAGTTACGTACAGTTTTTTACTGGTTAAACGGGAGACCATAATCACATAAGATCTCTGTCTAATGTTTAAGGATGTATTGGCTATACAGTCAATCCCAAAACTTTATGCACTTTAGAAACACATTTTTAAAAAAAAAAATCAGACTTCTAAAGAACATTGCTAATAATAAACAACCAAAAACAAATTTCGATTTTTCTGAGATTTTTCCAAGGGGTACCCCTTCAATTTCTTCCAAATTTTCGTTTTTGGCCAATAACTCCCAAACCGTTGGAGATAGGAGAAAATCACATGAGACCTTTTTTGTAGAGCATGATGAGATCTACAATTTCTGTATAAAAATTTCTCGCTGGCGTCAATAGTTAACGAGTAATTTGCAAAAAACTGTTTTTTAGTTTTTCGTCAATAACTCATTAAATATTAATGCTAGCGACAAACTTTTATACAGAAATTGTAGATCTCGTCGTCCTCTACAAGAACTTTTCGGATTGACTGTATAGCCATTAGCCATTACATCCTTAAGAAATTTGATAAAAGGGTATATCTAATATTTGAAGCGATAAACAGAGAAGTGAGGCTTATAACGCTTTTCGCCATGATTTTTTCAGAGTCACAGAGTATAATTTCTAAGATTCTAATATTTGATATTGGCACTCTTCCGTAAGACTGAATTTGGCTTGCAACTATTTCCATTGTCTACAATTCTTTCTTTTGCTTACTATTTATTATGTATCTTAAATAATATCCTTAAAGTTGATATTATTTCGGCTTTAAAATATTCTAATAATTATAGGAAATTACAGAATTCTCTCATAGTTGCATCTATATTTTTCATAAATAAAATGAAAACGATATTCAACATTGTACTATTAATGTAATAGCTAATAATTTTTAAATCTGAATGCTTTATCATTGTTTTTACCTAAGGATTCATACGAGAACTACCTCATACTTGGCTTTAAACTCAGTTTTCTGTTTACTTCGCATACAGTTAAAAGCGGGAAGTATATGGTCTCGTATATCACGAGTAGATATATTCAGGTAGCTAAAGCGGCCGAGATTGTACTCATTAATTGACATAAATCAAGCGGGGAACTGGACGAGTCTTGCGGACTCACGTATGATGTGATTCAAGGGCACAATGTGTGGTCGTGGTTAGGCTCGCGACGCGGCGGTGGTACACCGGGAGTCGTCACGACGCCCCTGTCGCTTCCGCAACACAGACGGGCGATGAATCTCCCCGTGGAGAACCACTACACCCACATGCAAACGGACGAGGCGCTATACGCGGAACTGGACTCTCAGGCCGCGAGCTACGCGAGCGATCTCCAGCTACAAATGAGAGGAAGCTCGACGTACGGTACAACTTCCGGCGGGCAGGACGACGAATACCACGAGCTGGACGCCGCGAGGTTACATCGTCATTACGGCGGTAGCAACGGGGACGGGTCCTTGCAGAGGGACACGCTTCGTACGCGGCACAGTAAAAGGTAGATTAATCCATGTAATTAACTTTTTCGCCGAGAAACCGCCTCGTGCTGTTATTCCTTTAGAGCAGAAACCGTGTTCCATGCTTGGACTTAACGTAATGAAATAAAATGACAAATACAACTTTGATATAATTCCTGTTTGAATACGTGAATTTATATTTTTATAATTAATATACGACACATAACTCTTTTCATCAGACGCAAAAAGTAGACAGTTGCTTTCCAAGATTCTTTTCTATTAAAATATACCTCACTGTTACGTTCTTCTTGCGTTTGAATGTGTTAAAACATTTATGCAACCTGTTCCACATAACTAGTTCTCTAATAAGAGTAATTTCTGTAATATCAACAGTGACACACAATCTAAGCGTGTCAAGGGAAATTGTAGCACTTGAATACTGTTGCGTTAGCCTGTATAATTATCTTCCTAATGTTCATTTTGTTACCTAATCAAACATAGAGCTTGATATGAAATACATTATTGAGCATTAATATTCTTAAAAATCTTTTTCCAGTTACGTCTAACATGCTTACAAATATAAAACTACTTATAATGTGAAATGTACTGCTATCGAGAATATATTACGTTTTCTTGTAACGTTCGCTGTTTTATCATATAAAGATTGTAATCGCATTAGTTTTGATAGATCAGACGTTTAAATTTACCGTTACAGCTGTACAGATAATCAGCTTTTTAATACTTTTCGCGTTACATTGATATATCGAAGTCTCTTTAAAATCAGATAATTATAAACTCGTTCAAACAAGCTGCTTAACCGATAAGCCGTGTCCAATCAACAATTCTCTTTTTGTAGCTTCCTGCTACCTCGTCACTTTAAGATTATAATCAACTCGTTTTCGGCGCATCTGTATTAAGTTGCACGTTTTGCTGCACAAAAAGGAATTTGCTTTTGACTCGTTATTATACGGAATGCGACGGTCTTAATTGATCAACTTTTCGATGTTTACGAGCGGAGTAACGTGATATTTCCAGGTTACAAGAACCGGATTACGAGATGTACGAGAACGGGCCGTCGACGCCGGTGCCGCCGGGTCAGATGCAACATCATCATCACCACCATCACCATCACAATCACCACCATCATCACCAGGAGCTGCGAATGGGCAGCAGGAACGGCGATCACCCGTCCTACCAAAACACCGCGTATACCGGAAGCGACGCGGAACCGGACGGTCCAACTTTGAGTAGCGCACCGAGCAGCGCTTACTACAGCGATCTAAGCTCGAATTCGGCGAATCAACAGATGCCCGCAGCAGCGGCCGCAGCGTCATCCGGTAGCAACACGAATCTCCATTTAAATCCGCAGGGCCTGGAAACGCCTCAGTATCGACTGGCAGCGATCAACGAGAGTTCGGTGCCGTCGGATTATATTTAGAACGAAATTCGTGAACTATAGTGACGAGTGAGAAAAACTGTGGATCTTGTGAACGAAGTGCCCTTTCTTTAATTACGACTCCAATGTACGATCGTGATAGTGAAGGATCTAAGTTCCCGGTGACAATCGAAACTCAGGAATACTTGTATAGGATTGTACAGTCCGGAGGATTGTTCCATTATTTTCCTATACTGAATCGTCAGATAACATAGAGGATGAAGGAGATAGAAGAAACTTTGTATAAATTCATTTTGTTCCCGGTGTCCAAAATCGTAGTGCCATAAATATCCTCTATTGTAATTCCAACGACTTTAAAAATGTAATTATTCTTCTAATTATCTATTGTCTTTGAATATGCATCGTCGCATAAAAGAACAAGAGAAAAATCCTCGTATTTCGTAAACAATGTATTCTATTATATAAACATTTCATATCGCATTTACAGTAGCCTCCAAAGTTCTCCTCTCAGGGAATCACCGTCCGCAAATAACTAGCCTGCAAGTGTACTTATCTTCGATGCATCAAATAATGAGCGACTAAAGAGCCAAATTGATCGATCAATCGAATTATTGTTTAAAATAATTAATGGAAGAATACATGAAATTGTACAGATTATCTTTTAAAAATCAGATTCTAACAAAAGAACGTAGCTAATCAGTTTGGCATCTGCATGATTCAATCTCTAATGCCTCAATGAAACGTTGAAACAGCGGATTCGTGTAATACGAGCTCTGGAATTTCATATCTTTCGACGCGGTTGGACCGGTTGATGGTTTCTTCGCGATCGCGAAATAAGAGGGTCTTTTGGAGAGGTAATGAGAGCACGAAGCCGATTGGAATGAAGTCGTTTCGAGGAACAGGTGTTTCGTACGTATGTAATTTGACGTTTGAAAGCTTTCACTCTGCGCCCTCGGCAACATTTACCTCTGTTCTTGCACTTTTATCGAACATCAAGCTCAGGAATGAACGATTTTTTTACAGCTTAGGTACATACAATCTTTTGTTCCACTCCGGCAGATTTTTTGGAAATATTAAGAAGAGAATAAAAATGGACATACAAGAGACACGTCTCCCTCCACAGATAAATTGATAACACTTAATTATTCTCGTCCATTAACGCTGAATCATATTTAATAATTAAAATATGATGAAATTTAGTCGGACGGAACGTACAGCTTATCAGTGAAAGATTGACAGTCGCGAAATTCACTCGTATTTAATGGGTGTTCAACGAGCGTCGTGCGAAAGTGTTCGTCAGTGAATCGTTAAACAGGATTCCCGGACTTGGTCGCGTCGCCGTTTATCTTCGACCCTCGTTCGACGCTGGAATTAATTCGTTTCACCCGATTCGGCTGGACTCGTTTAATCGTCGCCGTCGTGTTCTCTTAATTACCTTTCCCTCGGACAGGCCCGATTGTTCCTTCGACAGAAACACGAACCGAGGAGGAGACGTTCAGCCCCCGAGATTCTCAGCCGCGCCCGCGTTTACGTCTTTCATTTGTATTTCACCCGCGTTGCACCGGCTTGTCGCCGCGCGATCACCGACACACACTTTCGGCATTTGCTCCTAACAAATGGATTCTCGGTTTTCCGCGATCGATAGAATTTCTCATTTTAATTAACATGAAAACCGTCTGTGATTCATGAAGGTTTGCTAAACAACAAATATATTGAAATAAGAACTAAAAGAATGTTTCAACTAAAAAAAATCGACTTTTGCGATACATATGAGAAAAATGCAGACTGAAGTCTTCAAGGGAACATGAACAATTTTTTTTATTATTCGCGTCGAGCTGATAAATTACCGGACTCCTTCGCACGAAGCGTAAAAGCAAGAGGTTTCGTTCGCCGAAAAACCGTAACTGCGGCGTGGAATCATTCACTCAGCTTTCCATTCAACTGCGAACGCGGTGCGTGCAACAACCGATGCAACAATGCGATATCTCGGGGGCGCACAATAATTAATTGTACCTCCGCGGGTACAATGGGGATAGGAAGAGCTGCTCGGTTGTCGGGCTCGGTGCCGCTGGTGCATTATTTCGCCGGGGAAAAAAATCCCACGAACGCACCGCGCCGTCCAATGGGCAGTGGCTCTTATCGTGGTTGTGTTACATACTCGAACGGGAACGTATTATGGAATTCATTGGTACCCGCGCTTAATTAAGGCCCGCTTTAAGCCTCACCATCGTCTTCCGCATTTAAGCGAATGAGGCTCGTATCGACTCGCGAACGATTCACAGCTGCACGAAGAAATTTATGTCCTGCTCCTTAGCAGCTTTTCTTAGGAGAAAAGAAAATATCTCGAGGAGCGAAGTTATTAGCAAGTAGTGTTCAGATAAGATGATCGATTGGATTGTAATTAATAAATTCATATTGAGAATTATGTCAATAAAATGTACTTAATATGTAAAATCTCAACTACTGTGAAAATTCTGAAAGCGTCTAAAGAGATCTGCGAACTATTGAATATGTAGCGATGCGAAAAATGTTTGCGACTAATTCTCATTCATCACGGAGAGAAGAAAATCACCGGCGCCACGGGAATTTCAGCTCGTTGGATTCCCACAAATTTTTCGATCGGCGAGGAGCCTTCGATAATGGCAATACCGAAAGCGTCGGTCGAACGCGCGCCAAGGATGCGTCGGGAGGTACAAGGTACGACCCGGCCGTAGGGACGCAGGACCCGCCCTGGCTGGACGCGTACCATCTCCTCGTCCCTGCTGCTATAGGATATATAAATTATACATGTAAATATACGGGCGACCGAGTCGAGAGAGATCGAACCGTGAGATATCGAGATATGTGCTGGCGACCCGCACACCTCGCCGCTCCTTCTACCCTCTTCTTATTCGCTCTCTTTGCCTCTTATCTTCTCGCACCGCGCACGCATGAACTCACGCATCCATACCTGTACGCACTTACACAATTGCGCGTTTATACACAATACACACTTGTCTGCGAGTGTACACATACCTACCTTTGTCGCCACCGAAACGTCCTTATCCCACACTGCTCCCGCTAATTCCTATGCATTTTTGGAATTACCTGTGAAATCGCGGCGGCCAACCCCGCGTTCCTCGCAGCGTTCTCACAGCGGAAAAATGCCCGCGGTATGAAACCTGCGCGCGGGCTCAATTGTCCCCTGGCTGCTTTCATTTCATACTGTCTCTGTACAAATACAACACGCGATCAACTTGTGTTAAACGAATTATTAAGATGAAAATTGAACAGACCACGTTTTGACTAGAGAATTACAAAATGTGAAATGAACTGTTCTCGATTGAATTTACATAATGTACTTCGACGATTAGAATAAGTATAGAGAGTGGTGTAAGAACGGTCAGTTGAGTAATAATTCCTACGGCGTGGAAACTGTTACCGATCGACATAAAATCAAATGCGTCATTACGAAACAACGGGAAATACGTGATTTATAATACGTACGATCGATCACGCAGAATCATGAAATCGCGGTTGCCTTATATCGACACGATGATAGGCCGGAATTCAAAGTTGTTTCTCATTCTTAAGATCGTCTTAAGTATTTGCTATCCCTGTCTATCCCATGTTTCCAGTCACTGTCTTGCACAGGAAACAACTGGCGATCTTAAATATGAGTAACGAATACCGGCCAATAATGCCGGAAAAATAATGTATACTGTTATACACAAGTGTGTATAATACTAAGATTTTCTCGTATAAGTGAGAACGTTCCTGCCACAATCGTACGATTGTATTACCATGTCTGTACTTTTATGTGATGTAATGTGTCTTGCCTATAATTTTGTAACTATAAATACAGGAAGAGAGTAGGAAATGTAATATAAGAGCGTTTGGCGAACTGTAACAGAAGCTAATGTAAAAAGAAATAATATGGACGTGTGTGATTGTAAAAACGAGCGAATTATATTTTCATTAGTTAATTACAGGCTAATTAATGTTAGTAGATACGAAACGGTGCTAAAAATGAGTCGTTGTATTTATTTCTCTGTAGCTTTCGTTATTATTGTATCTAGGCACTACTGATACTCATGAATAGAGCCGAGGTCTATTAAAATTTCATCGTGAAAATAGAAATCATTTCCTCATTTTGCATCAAAATTATTATAATATTAACCGATTGGTATCTGATA